CAAAAGGCCCTGATCAAGATGCCTAACCTCACAGACCCTGATCCTCGTATTGGTCTAGGATGCTGCTTGTGGCAGCTCGGCTTCAAGGATCAAGCCAAGGTAGCTTGGGAGAGATCGCTGTCTCTGGTACGTAAAAAGAATACTCACAAGCTTTGTTTTCATGGGAATATTACTAACCTCCATCACTATGCAGAATCCCGAGTCCAAGGTTGCCAACGTCCTGCTCGCAGTTTACTACCTCCACGACAGCTCGCGCCGAGCCACTACCGACCCTATGTTTGGGTCAATGTACAAATTAGCCATGACTCAATACACCCAAAAGGCATTCAAGCTGGACAAGGAATACCCGATGACCTGCTCCATGTTCGCAAGCTATTTCCTCCTCCGCAAACAATATCCCACCGTCGAGACGTTGGCACGCAAAGCCATCGAGCACACAGACGTTATGTCTATTGCCAGTGACGGCTGGTATCTTCTTGGTCGCAAATCGCACTATGAAGGCGACGAGGCCCGCGCTACGGAGTTCTACAACCGTTCGGATCAAGCTCGTGGTGGGGTTGACAAAGGCTATCTTCCCGCCAAGTTCGGCGCTGTGCAAATGCAGATCACGAACAAGGACTTCGACGGTGCCAAGTTCCGACTAGAGAAGATTGTCCAGCAGTCGAAGAACCCGGAGGCGATGACCCTCCTTGCTGCTATTCATGCGGAAGAAGTCTTTGCTGCTCAGAAGTCAGGCAGCAAGGAAGACAAGTCGACCGAGACAAAGCGAGCCATCACTCTGCTTGAGTCAGTGCGCTCTATGTGGAAGGATGAAAAGCAAAATATCTCTCCCGACGAATCGGTTCTTGTTTATCTTTCCCGCCTCTACGAGGGCACGGCTCCAGATAAGAGCATGCAGTGTCTGACCCAACTAGAACAGATCCAGATCGCTGAAATTCCTGAGGATGCTCGACCTGATATCGAGGACCAGGAGCAGATGAACGCTGCTCTTAGGGAGAGTCTCCCGCCGCAACTCCTCAACAACATGGGCTGCTTCCTATACCAGAACGACAAGATCGCACTAGCTCGTGGGTTGTTCCAGTCTGCCCTCAACGCATGTGTGCAATCCAAAGAAAAAGCGGATGGCACTGATACCGATGCGCTCGTCACCACAATCAGCTACAACCTTGGACGAACTTACGAGGCAGCAGACATGTGGGACGAAGCTAAGAAGGTCTACGAGGGTCTTCTGGAGCGTCACGCTGACTACACGGAAGCTAATGCACGCCTGACGTATATTGCCCTTCGCCAGAGCCCTACAGATGAGGGCCCTAAGAAGATTGGCAAGCTTTACGAAGCGGAAAGCACAAATCTGGAAGTTCGGTCGCTCTACGGATGGTATCTCAGCAAGGCGAAGAAACGAGTCGCCAACCTTGCTGAAGATAGTGAGCAACGCCATTTCAAGCACACGTTGCAGTACTATGACAAGCATGATCGCTACGCGTTGACTGGAATGGGCAATGTGCATCTGCTTGCCGCTCGTGACATGCGTCGTGACACAGACCAAGAAAAGGAAAAGCGTCGCAAGATTTATCAGCGTGCTGTGGAGTTCTTCGACAAGGCTCTCCAACTGGACCCCAAGAACGCATATGCGGCTCAGGGTATTGCGATCGCCTTGGTCGATGACAGGAAAGACCACAGCTCCGCTGTGCAAATTTTGTCCAAGATTCGGGATACGCTCAAGGACCCCAGCGTCTACCTCAACTTAGGACATGTCTTCGCTGAGCTCCGCCAGTTTTCACGGTCAATCGAACACTACGAGACTGCATTGTCGAAGGATCGCCAGCGCGATGTGCAAATCTTAGCTTGTCTTGGCCGTGTATGGTGGCTACGAGGCAAGCAGGAGGCGAACTTGGCCGCAATGAAGACAGCACTGGACTACGCCACGCGCGCACGCGATGTTGCTCCGGATCAACTTCACCTGCAGTTCAACGTTGCTTTCGTGCAGAACCAAATCGCCTCGCTCGCGTACGGTCTGCAGCCCACGCAGAAGACGCTACAGGATGTCCAAGAGGCAGCGGAGGGTCTCAAGGAGGCCATCGAAACATTTGAGCGTCTTTCCAAGGAGAAGAACCCGCCTTACCCCAGCGCCGCATTGGAGCAGCGAGCCAATATGGGTCGCACAATCAGCAAGCAACTTGACCGAGCCATGCAGAGCCAGAAGGAGTACGAAGAGAAGAACGCCGCGAAGCTCCAGCAAGCCCGTGAAGCCCGCGAAGCAGCCGCGCGGATCCGGGAAGAGGAACTGCGCAAGGCCCAAGAGGTCGAGATGGAGCGCAAGAAGCGCATCGCCGAGGAACGCGCTCAGATGGTCGAAGAGGTGCAGCGACATGCCTTGCAGCGCGCTGAAGAGGAGCGCGCTCGCGAGGAGGCCGAGTTGACCCACGACTCTGAGACCGGTGACCGAGTCAAGCGCAAGAAGAAGCCTACGAGCAAGCGCAAGAAGAAGGGCGGGGACGACTTCATTGCTGATGAAGGCGAAGGCGAGGCTGCGCACAGCGCGGCCGAGAGCGAGGGCGAGGCACCCAAGAAGCGGCGCCGCTTGGGACGCCGATCGGGCGGGAAGGCTCAGGTCGACAAGTCCGAGAAGCCTGGAAAGTACAAGAGCAGTGAGATGGTTGTTGACTCTGATGACGAAGAGGCTGCTAGGTCTGCCGGCGAAGACAAGGATGATCTGTTTGGCGACGACGAGGAGCCGGCTGAAGAAGCCGCTCCGCGCCGTCGTGGCAAGGCCTCTCGTCGTATTGCTGATGATGACGAGGACGAGGACGAGGAAGAGGAAGTACAACAAGAAGTGCAGGCCGAGAAGTCTGTCAATGAAGACGACAAAGGGGACGACCTGTTCGGCGAGGAGCCTTCGAAGAATACCGAGGATACGGAGATGCAGGAGTGAATTATGGCACATTACAACTATTTTTTTTCTGTCACTTCGAAGTTCTATTTTCCATCTTTCTTATCCAGGCGTCTGGTAAGGGGCTACCTGAACTGCAATTGATACATTTCTCCCCTTGTACTTCAAGCCATGTGTAATTATTACCCTTGATCGTTATCAGTCTACGACAAAATTCAGAAAGAAAAAAGAAAACCCCTGTGCATTGTTCGAACAGGACCACCGAAATAAATCAAAACCAAGCACTCCATAGGATATGTAAACGCCACAAGGAACGGCCAAATACCGGCGTTTACAGATCTCGAAAGCCTCGGTAAGAATGGAAATACTTAATTCACTGCGCACCTAACTCCTAAAGGAAGTTGAGAGAGGATAAAATAGATTAAAAGGGAACAACGCCAGGCCCAAGCGCAACGCACCTGCATTGAATTAATCTATAGAACATGCAATTCCAGAGTAGAACGAATCTGCTCAGGGCTGATCTCCCCTCCACGGAACTCCGCTGGAGATGACCACTCCGCTGGAGATAATCCTTACCTAGCGAATGGCTCGGTACGGAGTAATGTCAGACATGGCTTGCGCAGGCCCCAGAAATGTTGGATTCACACGTGGTGTCACTGGTGGGATTGACCCCTGCCACCTACGGAGCACCGAGGAGCTACTCCATATTCGTCTAGCTGCTTGGCTAGTGAATTAAACGTGCCCAATGTAACCGCATATGGTAGTAGGTGTGTGCACTCTTGGAGGCTGTGTCTCATGCTGCGTCAGCGTTAGATTGGGGGCTATCTCGTTCAATAGGGCACGTTTTTGGTAGGAGCTTTAATTCTATGTGTCTGGGTTATAAGATTGCTATACTCTATACGGAAGAACGGAGTACAATGTACTCCGTACTACCTTTGGATATCTAGTCTGACGATCGGTGGAGTAGTATGAAGTACGAAGTCCTCATGTCAGATCTCACCTTGAAATTAACCATTTCGTATAATCCTTGGCTGCACACCGAATTACTTACTCTGATCAAGGTTCATGATCCTAGAAAGTAACACGTAGCCAGAGACCATAACACACCATTCAAAGCCACTATATCGACATGGGAAATGGATACCACCTTGCACCCCAGCCGGTGGGACCTGGGGCGCAGGAAGACGGAATGTACTTTCTTTTCGTAGAGCCAGGGAACGAGCTTTTAAAGTTAAGACAAGAAATCTCGCACATTCATACTTCGTACGTTCTAGGACAATTCGGTATGTGGAGATCCTCGGGCTGTTATGGATGGACGGAAATAACTTTATTTTCGTCAAGCTTGAAGGTTCCATGGATTTCCGGGCGACTCATGTTGTAGACCTTCCCTATGTAGGTATGCAGGACATTGGGATGTTAGGACGTTCAAAAGTAGTTATTTAACAAAAACCCTCTCCTGTGGCTCAATGTCTGTTGAAAAGCCAAGTGTTTTAAGAGAAACGAAAACAAAGCAAAAGCCAAAAGATACAGAGATAGGTGTGTAGCATCGAGCTCACCGATGATATCAACGGTAGACACAGTTCGGTGGTTCATCGCCCAAAAAGTTAAGGATCGTCAACGAACTACAGTCGACGGATCATTTCTCTCCATTACTATTGTCTACCACGATCGTAGCATATCTCCATGTCGAACACAAGGCCAGTTACGAAGACCTTTGCCGTCTCCATTCTTTCCACTGCCAATTCGTAACCCTCATTGGACATCCACTTCATCGGAACTACACATATGTCATAGATCAAGCTCTATGTCCACATTGTCCAGCCAAGTAGAACACGATCCAAGCCGGTGCTTAAGTTCGTACAGCACGTCAGCTATCATGCCGCAAGCATCTATCTAGAGAGCAGGCACGATAGTACAATGCGTACTTAAATGGCCTGGTCATCTCCCTAGAGATGTCGCCAGCCAGATTTCTTCCTTGTCCTCTATCCACCAATTAAGGACAGTCCAGTTCAAGTTCGCCCTCCTCTCCTACCAGTGAGTATAGACCTACTAGAACTCAGCTCAAACAGTCAGTCCTCTAACAACGACTCCAGTCTGAACCCATATCAAAATGCGTTACGCTCTTGTCGCTCCCGTCCTTTTGGCGGTCATGGCACTCGCCGTTCCCGTCCCCAGTCAGAACGATGTGATCGGTGACGCTGGTGTTGCTGTTAACCTCGGCGGTGACAAGACCGTTGGTGTTGCCATGCGTGATGTCATTGGCGATCTCGGTGTCGCTGCCAACGTTGGCGGTGATGCGACTGCCGGTGTCGCGAAGCGTGATGGCCCAGATGACGTTAATGTTGATGCTGATGCCGCCGCCGACATTAGCGCTGATGCTAGTGTCGATGTCAAGCGTGATAGCCTAGATGACATTGGTGTTGATGCCGATGCCGCTGCCGACGTTAGCGGTGATGCTGCCGTAGATGTCGCTAAGCGTGGTGGTGGCGGCGATGATGACTCCGGCTCTGATGTTATCGACAACCTTGGTGCGGCTGTCAATGTCGGCGGCGCAGAGACCACCGGAGTTGCCAAGCGCTCTAAGGAGGATGTCATTGGCGATCTCGGCATTGCTGCTAACGTCGGTGGTGACAAGACCACTGGAGTTGCAAATTGAAGTAACCACGCCATGCTTAGAGAGCTGGCCATTACTCCCAGCGAGGAGACCACCGGGATCTGGTTAATAACAAGGAGGCAGATACCACAACCTCGAATGAACTATCTAGATCTCATGATCTAATTGTGGGCATTTCACCCTTTCCCTCCAGAAGAGCAAAACTTACATGCAACGTGGAATTGGGTGGGCTCCTGAATTTTGGAGTTGAAAGACAAAGAACTGGCGTTAGTTATGGATCTGGCTTGATATCACTTCGAATCTTAATGGACTTTAGTGTCAAAAGTATACTAGGCTTCAATATTTCAATACTCCCACATTTCCAATGCTTTGAATATGATGTATGTACAGAGTAGCACACAAAGAAGAATTATAATTGACTATTTCCAATAGTCCATCATTTGTTTGTCTACTATTTGGCCATTCCGAAGAGCCCAACCTTGGAAGTCCCATGTATCACAAATATGCCTTGCAAAACGAAAGGAGCCCCCTGTATGTAGTACCATCAAGACAGCTAATCCCTGCCATGCCCTATCATGTACTTGTTTGACGGTCAATGTCGGGTCACATCAGGATCGTAAACTCGGATCATCACACATGGTAGCATTTAATATTGACAACCACTGCGCCTATTTCTAGGGAGTTATGGAACAATAGTTAGTTTAAACGATTCAGCCTCAATAACGTGGTAGATATCAATCGCCCTATAACTGACTAACAAAATTAGTTGACTAACTAGTTACTATCCGCCGTAACTGGTAGTTGCAATATGAGATTGACCCATTCTCCACAGGATAGTTCCAACGGGCGCATACATGCGTGCTTTACCCAGATAGGCGACCGTTGGATCGTGCCCAGGCTAACATGATAGCGCGCTACGCGATACTAAACCCATTTCACGTCAAGCGGGAAAATGACGGAACACAGTTGCAATTGACTTTAAATGTACTCCGTACGGACTGCTCCGTACTCCGTAACTACCGGCCTCGGGGACCTTCTTGTTTCAGGGGAATTAGATCTGTCGATCCTCGGGAAGCATGAAGAGGAACGTGTTCGTGATAGGCGAACCATGCGAATGAAAGATGGGTAAGAATTACCAATTTCCTCCTCTTCTAGAACATGTCCCTTCAAACCTTATGTCGCGCTACTCTACTCCGTACGGAGTACTATACTATTAACCCACATCCTCCTATTTTTTGAGCGCTTGATCCATCGTAAAGTTGAATTTCCATTATACTATGGTAGACTCCTACTCTATTTGATCTCTTCGTTTCAAAAATGAAACAAAAAGAGCAAGTAGAGATCTGACAGCCGACGACACTCCAATCTCAGGGCATATTCCTCACACAGATCTGAGACGAGGAAGAACACCGGGGACCGCTTGGACCTATGATATAGACACGTACTCGTACTCCGTCCAGTGCTCGATGACGATCATCGTGGACGCGAAGCGCGAACGGCCGGAGGTGGGGCACGTGCTTGTTAGTTGTACCTGGAAAAGGGAGAACGGGACGAAACTAGTGGCCAGAGTGAACAGTTACATAGGTAATTAAGAATATCAAGTGCTGCACTACGCAGGTACAATACGTATAATGTAGGAACAGACTTCTGATTACGGAGTATATGTTCTAGACTACGAGATCATCAGGAGTCCACTTTACAGTTCAATACACGCTACAACTAGCGGTATATTGTACTCGGAAATAGAATGAGACCTTTTTTTTTGGCTTTTCCCCTCGGGCTTCTCCCTTGTTTCGAATCGTGCTAGCTGCAGGCTCAGGTCCACTTCCACACCAGATAGGAAGCTGGTTGTTGACTGTAGACTACGCAAGTGAATATTAGAATATGTGTGTGACGAGTCACCACAACGGTAAAAAGTAATTATATGCAACAATAACAAGCGAGAATTGTATCCTTATGCTAAATCAAGTCTATCTAGTGCTACTTCCAGGGTGATAATATGCACATACCAGGCACAATGGATATACCCCGCCCTGAGACAATGCAACTCTCCGACAGGTAAAATG